CCAGACTGATATATCATACCTATCTATCTGTGAACAGGGCACATGATAGCAAAGTGTGAAAATTAAAGATGTCCCTGTATAGTGAAATAGCCTACTCAAATTCATCAAAAAGGAACAACCCCAGCACAATATATATATATATATATATATATATATACTTGATATATTAAAATCTTCAAGGGATAGCACAAGAGAAAGAACCATACTAACCTGCAAGTTCCTCCACCATGACCCACAACACGGTAATAATGAACAAGAGTCCAATTGAGTGAGGGAACAGAGACACCTGTAATCCATGTGTGAGGACTTATGTTGATTGGTCTAGCTCTGAATCCAAAACTCAGCCACTAGTAGCTGACATCCATGCGAGGGTAGGATGAGGGATCCCAATTGAGAAGTGGTGAACTGCAATTCTGATGGTTCATTCCAAAGCTACAACATCTTGTATAAACTTGTTTAGAGGTGAAGCATCAAATTGGAGGGCATCTCATCATCTACACCAACAGAACACCACCACCCTACTCTCAACTGAATGGATTCATTTTGTATCGTATATCACTATCAAATATCAGGAAGATGCCTCCATGGTTTATCACCCCAGCAGCTTGAAAATGGGAAGTGGTAAGGACTCTCTTACTCCACTGGAAGAAAAAGGGGGAGAAAATGCGATGGAGAATCCGGAGGAACGTGAACATCAGAGACAGTGCAATGGGTGACCACAAAAACCCTATTTTGAAAAGCAGACCACACCTGATTTATTTAATCTAAGGAATGGCAGGGATGAGTAGCTATCCCCTTCTGCTTTACCCATGAAGTCTGTGGGTGTGTACAGTCCGGAATGAGCATATTAATGAGGCAAATTGATACAAGCGGTCTTGTGGAACATCCCATCTCAACAATGAGCATTTAGGGGCATGAAATTTACAAATATTAAGTCATTATGGTCTGACAATGTGGATTTGACTAATTGAAGGATACCTGGTCAGGCACCAATTGCTACAGTGCAGGATCTGTACAGTAAAAAAGGGGATAGCCCTTGAAAAATATGAGGTATATATACCAAAGATAACTCACCCAGGCCCAGTCTCATGGAAGACACCCAGAACAAATTAAAGGAATAGGGAGACAAGGAAGTATAAGCCAGTCAAATTAAACGCGAACACAATTGGAAAGGGTGCAGGAAGAAATGTCCCAAACGGAGGATATCTGCCAAGAAATGAAGTGATAGGAACGGGCACCAAGGAAGGAGGCCAATAGGAAAAGGAAATAAAAAAGAGGTTCAAACGAAGGCAAGGTAAGGCAGTGAAGAAGCACAATGATATCCAAATCCAAAAGGACTGTGCACTGAGAAGGAGGATGAATTTGGTAGGAATGCAATAATATGGAGAGGTGGAAACTTTACGATACCAGAAAAAACAAAAGTGTGGGGTAGTGCAGCCTGATAATCCGTGATTGAGGAAACCAAACAGCTCTTATCAAATAGCCAAGTGAGGAAATTCGTAAGCAGAGAAACAGTGCACCAAGCAGGAGAAAACCCCGACCCAATGACCAACGGTGGAAAACATTCCACTTACACTGAGAAACATCCATAGAGGAATGGCAAATGGAACAAGCTAAAAACAAAAAGTCTCGCCAGGACATTCTGGATCTCCTGACCAAGGACCAGATAAAATCCAGGCTTGAAGACAGAAGAAATGAAGGGTTGTATGAAATGCCAGTAACCAAAGTTTATGTAGAAGTGATGGAGTAAGAAGAAGAGGTAGTGGTGGGGAAGATTGGAGCTCGAGCAGCCATGAAAACCACGGTTGTACCTGCCAGTAAGGAGCAATCAGAAGGACTTCACACTGAGTGACATGGATGATCAAAATCACCCTGGGAAGAAGATGGATGGGAGGATACAAATAGAAGTATATATTGATCCAATCCTGACTGAATGTATAAACAGCCAGTGCAAGTGGATAAGGAAATGGAGACCAAAACAGAAATAACTTAGTAATGAGGGATGTGGCAAATTCATCTAGGTGAGGAGTACCCCACTGAAGGCATAACCACTGGAAAACAACAGAACTGAGAGACCAATCCATCAGATAATACTCTGTGTCGGTATGGGAAAGACGATCCATAACCAGATTGAAAACATCCAGAACATGGCATGCAAGGAGACAAAAAAGGAGATCCAAGGTTCAACCACAAAAGGAACAATAACAGGTGTGTCCTGGTGATTGATATAAGCCACCACCCTATTTGAACCATGTTTATCATAGGGTATGTTGGAGCTCAAGGTTTGTGGCATGCAAAAAACTTTTTCCATATAGAGAGCAGCATTGAACGAGAATAGCTATTTATGTGAGAAGAGGTAATGTACCTTATCAGAATTTAAATTTTTTTCGACTGGTCACAGATAATCACTCTAGTTGTTTTCCTTCAGTCTGTACAGTTCCTGACTGGTCACATATAACCACTCCAGTTGTTTTCCTGAAGTCTATACTGTTCCTGACTGGTCACATATAACCACTCCAATTGTTTTCCTGAAGTCTATACCATTCCTGATTGGTAACATATAACCACTCCAGTTGTTTCCTGAAGTCTATACTGGTCACATATAACCACTCCAGTTGTTTTCCTGAAGTCTATACTGTTCCTGACTGGTCACATATAACCAATCCAGTTGTTTTTCTGAAGTCTACACTGTTTCTGACTTGTCACAGGTAATCATTCCTGTTGTTTTTCTGAAGTCTACACTGTTTCTGACTTGTCACAGGCAATCACTCCTGTTGTTTTCTTGAAGTCCGTACTCTTTCTGACTGGTCATAGAAAATCACAGGCAAAATGTAAATTAGGAAAACAAGTTATCTTGAATTTCGCAATCTTCTGTAAAATCAAATGGAAAAATTCTACTTCAGAATTAATTTAAAAAAAAAATTGCATTAAGTTTAAAGAAAAAATATGATTGAAGAGCACAATGAAAATTGTCTTCACACAAGCACTGCCAAGTGAGAAATAACAGTTCAGTAGAATTGAATAGTGAGAGTCACATGTGTCACACTCTTATTGGTGGAGCATTATCGCATTACATGTGAGACACATTTGAACCAGGTTGATCGTAGGGTACATGGGAGCTCAAGACTTGTGGCATGCAAAAAACGCTATTGCACATAGAAGGAACCACTGAATGAGAATAGCTATTTATGTAAGAGGAGGTAATGTACTGTATTAGAATCTATACTGTTCCAGACTGACCACAGATAACCACTCCAGATGTTTTCCTTTAGTCTATACTGTTCCTGACTGGTCACATATAACCACTCCAGTTGTTTTCCTGAAGTTTATATTGTTCCTGACTGGTCACATATAACTACTACTGTTGTTCTCCTGAAGTCTGTACATTTTCTGTCCTAGTACATACATTGAGGCCATAAGCAGTGGATTATTTGTTCCTAATAGCTGTCCTAGTACATACATTGAGGCACATATCACTGTAGTTACCTAGTATCGAACAATCAAAAATAGCCCTAAAGGTTTGTACTTTAGTCCATCCTGTAACTCTATCTAAAAAATCTCCATCTGTAACTCAAAATGAAGATGGTCACCAAAACTGCAAACTATAAGTAACATACACCAAAATATCTGTATGTTGTGAATGTGGGGCAAGTAAAATGTGCACATACCCTAGTGTTGCCAACTATTGAAAATGTTGAAGTACTTTTTGTAAGGGGGCCATCCATGAAGGACATCATACTACTTAGACCAATTTTTGAACTCCCCTGTCACACTTGGTCACATTGATGGCCCCTAAGTGAAGTCAATGAACACTTCAACAACAGTTGGTGGTAAATATAAACACATTTTATCTCTAAGTAGGACAGTTGGCAACCATAACATACCCTATAATTTTTTAATTAAATCAACAAATAATCTTCCAGACCATAATAAATGTTGGCCTCTTTATAGTCTGTTTAGTTTAACTAGCTGAAAATAACATCTACTGGGGGATCTGTCAGCCATTACATTCACTACAGAAACGTGACTCAACCACTTAAAATGGATTTTTGTTTTCCCTTAGGAAAATAGAAGATCAGACACTGAAATGCACAGTAATTATTATTATAGCATTAAGTGTACACCATTACAATGATTAGATATTACTTTTATTAGAAATAATAAGCATAGACACTGGAATGGTATGCCTGATGATGTATGGAATACTTTTATTTTGATTATCTTAAAACAACTGTTCACATACATCTATTTTTTAACTTGATGTTTTTCTTGCTGGTTTTGATGATGGGGTTAACTTGATGAATGTAATGGCTTTTTGTCACAGTGACATTCTTATGTTCTTTTACATGCAACAGCAGAAAAAACTGCAACTTAGATTTTAAATGTTATTTTACCAAATGTCTCTGTATTTTCGAAATATATATTATAAATTACATCAAACATATTTTACCTCTTTAAAATCTTAACTTAAAACTGTGTTTTACAGTTAATTGGCAATAACCATAAAAATTAATGTACAACTACGTTGAGTGTAGCATTTATTTTTAAAACAAATATTTCGTATTCGTGTAGCTTGCTTCTTTCTTTCCACAGGAAGTGGATTTGTTGGAAGTTAACTGACTTATTTAATACGAATTCTGTATTTAAAAAACCTGTATTTACTACTATAGTAGTATTACTATTACTATTGGTATCATAAGCTTCTCACTAGTTTTATAGCTTTAAGTTTAAGTGATATATTAAACCTAACATCCTTGTAACTTTTATATAAATTATCCTTATAGGGCTGCCTTTCTGTTGAGTGTTACCAAGTCTTACTGTTAGTTTTAATAAATGAAACTGAAAACTCGGAATCCGTCTTATCCTACCACCGGTGAGCTAGAAATTCTAGTAAAATCTGTCTTAAACTTTTAAAATGAAAGTTAAAATTAAGGTTTACAAGTTACATTTACAAACGTGAATTGAGAAAACTGCTGCCGAGTAAAATAAAATTAACATACCTTATAAAGTTTCTGTTTACAACGCAGTCCGCCACAACTTAAAATAACTGAAGACTAAAAGAAACAACAACACATAATATATATATCGTTTATATCAAACGCATGACAATTCATTATCACAAAGACAGCAACATTTTAACTACACGACTAAGCCTATCGTAACTCGTAAGTGTTATATGGCAATTATATGTTCAGGGGTCGTTAAACATTTGATGTTTTAATTTTAAAATAAATGACTTATGGAACTATTGCAATCTCTTTCTTTCTAGTTATTGGTCAAGTAAGAAAACAGTCACTTGCTCGAATTTTAAAAGTATAAAAACAAGTAAAGTTAAAAAACCCTTTAGGACATCAGTCAAACCATCTATTCAACTAAAAGCAGCAATTTCAGGCACAAGTTTTGTCGACGGATTGCCTTTCCTCCTGGTCGGTGGTTCAAAATTAAAGACAGCTATGCTTGAACCATAGGAGTTTCCGACGTTTAGCCGTGTACATAAGATATGATCCAAGTGAACAAATAAACAAGATGACAAATTCAAGCTAAATGGGGTATCATACATCCATATATTTGTGGTATGCATGCATACCATGCGTCTTCTACCTTACTATGTAAAAATTAAAAACTTATTTCGGTTATACTGAATCTATGCAGTTTTCGCATAAACATGTGTGTGAGAAAACTATCGAGTTACTATTTTTGTTCTTTGTTGTTATCTAGAGACAATACCAGTTCCACCAGCGGAATTATTGTAAGAAGCAAATGACAACAGTGTCTTTCACTTGCAGAGCAGACTATATCTAGAGGTTATGGTCTTCCCTGTATTGAATGAAAAATATCACTCATGTTGTAGTCACTAACTGCTGTGGGTAAATTCAACGTTTCATTCAAAGTAAGAGCGCGTTATACTAATACAGTTTTCTCCTTTATGTCAGGTATATTGGCCGACGGAAAGATATCTTGAGGGAAGCACAATCCTTAATGAATTAAACAGTCCAGTAGAAGGCGATTGCCTAGTGTCCAATGCAAGTATTCAAACTGTGTTTAGAAGTAAGTAAAAGTTAAAAATTGTCATTTTCCATTACAACTCGTGTCCAGTCTCTTTGTTTCTTAACTGAAAAATCATTCAGTTTATTTAAGTTCAAATTTATTTGGTGATTTATCCTGCCGATCCTCCTGTTATAAAATAGACTTATCTAGCACTCTTTGCAAAAATTAGTTAATATGAGAAAACCACATTTAAAAATAATTCAAACTATCCAAAAATTTACAATTATGATAAAAAAGAAATTTTGCATAAGCATCAGTCTTTACTCGAAATTTTAAGCCCTAAAAATGAATAGTATTTGAAACAAGTCGACTTCACTTCATTTATATTGCAGTGAAAACAAATCAAACTATTTTAAACCTTTGTTCTTATCTGAATGTTTTTAGACCAGGTATTATTGTAATAGTCCTCCACATATTTTATAAGATATTGTTACGACAGCGGACGTCACGTGACGCTAGTAACACGTCACGAACTTCTAGAAAAATCATGCCCCTTCGTGAAGCTTCGAGTGTGTACTAGATGTACGGTATTCTTGTATATAAGACCGTCAAGAAGTGACGGCAACAATGTAATTGAATTGCAGACAGAGATAGAGATTGACGATTGAGTCGAGCACGTGAGTCGTTCGTTGTGAATTATAGCGTTTGTTATAGAGTGACTGTGGAAATTAAATGTATTGCAAAGTTGTATTCAGAAGGAATAAACCAGTTTTATTTAAGAAAGGACTTGTATCGCTAAAGTTTCTTAGGAAAGAATTTTTACGGAAAATTAACTAACAACCAGAGACGTAACAAACTGGTGTCAGAGAGTGGGACAAAAAAAAAAGAATATGGAAACGAGAAGCGGCAAATCAAACTACAGCTTAGCAGATTTGATGGCAGCAATACAAGAACAGCAAAAGAAACAAGAAGAACGAGAAAAAAACAAGAAGAACGAGAAAAGAAACAAGAAGAACGAGAAAAGAAACAGGAAGAGAGATTACAGCAGTTGTTGGAGGAAAAAGAAAAGAAACAAGAAGAACGAGAAAAGAAACAAGAAGAAAGATTACAGCAGTGGCAAGAAAACCTGCAACAATGGCAGCTCGAACAGCAAAATAAACAAGAGAGATTACAGCAGTTGTTGGAGGAGAAAGAAAATAAACAAGATGAGAAATTACAGCAGTTGTTGGAGGAAAAGAAAATAAACAAGAAGAGAGACTACAGTAGTGGTTGGAGGAGAAAGAAAATAAACAAGAAGTACGAGAAAAGAAACAAGAAGAGAGATTACAGCAGTGGCAACTGGAACAAGAAAGGAAACAGGAAGAAAGTCTCCAACAGTTGCAGGAAAGTCAACAACAGTGGCAAGAAGTACAGATGGAAAATATTAGTAAATTTAAAAGCGAATTAAATACATTAAAGAATGATTTACTG